GACCTTTCCTCCCTAGAGATAACATCTCGGCCTCGGCTGTATTTCAGCTCCAGGCCCAGAAAAGCAGCAAAACCAGACCAGTGACCCCATGGCTGCCTCAGGACCAGCTGCATTGACGAAGGACCCCCTGCCCTGGTGCCAGCCGTCAGTCAGCTCTGAAAGGGCTCACCTGGAAAGCTGCTGAATATTCCATTAGGAGCCCCTGGGACCTCCCCTCAAATCTCCACCCTTAAAACCGTAGGACTGCCGAAACCGGTTTGGCTCAGTGGATAGAGCGTCGGCCTGCGGACTGAAAGGTCCCGGGTTCGATTCCGGTCAAGGGCATGTACGTTGGTTGCGGGCACATCCCCAGTAGGAGATGTGCAGGAGGCAGCTGGTCGATGTTTCTCTCTCATCGATGTTTCTAACTCTCTATCCCTCTCCCTTTCTCTCTGTAAAAAATCAATAAAATATATTTAAAAAAAACAAAAAAAAAAAAACCGTAGGACTGAGGACCCAGTGCGCTTGCTCTCCCTCCTGGGAGCCGCCAGAGCCTTTCCCTTTTCCTGCTCCCTCCCCATACCCCCCCCCCCCTTGTTGCCATTATCATTACCTTCCTCACTCCCAAGCTCCCAGGGCTCTTCCTTTACCTCATAACTCCTTTCCTCAGCCCATCTCTTCTACGAATGACTTCCGCTACCTCTGTGACTTTATAAAGAAATATTCTCTTCTAGTTGAGTCTTGGCTCTGAATTCTTTCCCAGCCAGAACCCAAGTACCGAGGTTGCTGAACCCAGGTCCTGTCTGACCCTATGGGTCTAAGACCCAGTGCCATCGGCGCCGCTTGCAAGGGAAGAAAAGACGATTCTGGAACCTACATCATCAGGCTGGGGTGGACACTGGACACAGAACCAAGTAGGTCAAGAATGTGTCAGTGTTGAGCACATGGTAGAGAGGCTCAAAACGACCTAGCTATTACGTTTCTTTTTCCACGCTCTCCTCTGGGAGCATCTTATGAAAGAGACACTTTGGGGAGAAAATATGTGTGTGTATATATATATATACATACATATATATATATATATCCTAGTCCGTTTGATTCAGTGGATAGAGCATCTGCCTGCGGACTGAAGGGTCCCAGGTTTGATTCTGGTCAAGGGAACATACCTTTGTTGCAGGCCTGATCCCCAGCCCTGGTTGGGGCATGTGTAGGAGGCAACCAATCGATGTCTCTCTCTCACATGGATGTTTCTCTCTATCTCTCCCCCTCCCTTCCACTCTCTACAAATCAATGGGAAAATATCCTTGGGTGATGATTAATTTAAAAAAAATACACACACACACACACACACACACAAGCGTCCCTACCCTCTCAGTGGTGAGTGTGTGAAACCCTATTGAAAACGATGGGGCCAGAGCACACATGGCTGAACCGAGAGGTACAGGAGGCAGGGGGAGGGAGCCCAGGTCACACCACCTTGGACCCTTGACTCCCACGCAGGCCACACCCTGAGTCCCTCATCCAGCCAGCACCCTTGTCCTGGGCCCTACACTGTGGCCCATCCCCTCTATGCCTGGGCGGTCGCATGGTCATAGAAAATGGCTTATCCTAGTTCTGGGGGAGAGCAGGCTTCCTAACAGTTCTTACCTCTCTGTTATTAGGTGGTTTCCTAGTTACTCAGCTGCACTAAGAGCTGGGCCTGGCTGAAGCCTGCGATTACTCATTGACTATTATGGCTCAATTTACCGAGCTTCACAGTAAATCAAACCCAATAAAAGTCAGGCCCTTGTGCTTCAAGATCAAAAGTCGAAGGTGTTAGGAGGAAATTAACAGTCAGGAGTCACCTGGGCTGACATGATCAGAGGCACCGTGTCAGCTGAGGGCAGAGCGGCCTCTTTTCCCTTAGAGAGAAGCCCCCAGGGGAGGGGGAAGGGGAGACTGCAGGGGGGCGCGTGCGCTCTAAAGGCCAAATGTCTAGGGAGTAAATTGCGGATAGAGAGCTCTTTAAAGTCCAGACGTAATTATTAAAAATGATTAGCTTTCCAAGTCATCCCTTAAAAAAATCAGTAAAAACGTTTCCTTAGAGACATGTCTGTTTCCGTTGAAATCCAGATCAATAGTCAACATACAGTGGAGGCGGTTTCCCATGCAAGCTGAACAGACGTCCTTGGGTCTGAGCGGTCTGAAGTATTCACTCAGCAAACAGTGTCACCTGCTGAGAAGACAAAGGTGAGGAAGGCTTAGAGCTAGAAAGAATTTTATTCATGCATATTTGCACCTGTGTCTGCTTCGCTGCCCATTCACCCGCCTCCCTGGGTGGGGATTAGAGGTAGCAGTTATTCCACTGATACTTGTTGGGGGTCAAGGAACGGATAAAGTAAAGCTTTATACCACCCCCAACCCCCACCCCCTCACCCCATCTCTGCCTCCCACCTCCAAGTGTAGGTACAACCGGTCTAATATCCACCTGGCCCTCCACTTCATGCCCATTTGTAGCCGCCACAGGGACCAGGAACCCTCAGCTGACCTGGGCTCACCTAGCAGCCTCCCAGCCCCCCAGCAGGGTGGTCCCAAACTGGGCAGGAGCAAGCAGTTCTACCCAGGAGGTCACTATTTGATCCCTGGTCAGGGCACATGCCCAGGTTGCGGGCTCCATCCCCAATGGGGGCGTGCAGGAGGCAGCTGATCAATGATTCTCTCTCATCATTGATGTTTCTATCTCCCTCTCCCTCTCCCTCCCTCTCTGAAATCAATAAACATATATTTAATAAATAAAATTCCTGGGAATAGCGAACTAAGGTGGGACTCTCCTGGAGACCCAAACCTTTTCCTAAGGTCCCACTGTACTCGCAGCCTCATTTGTCCCTTCGGCTCCCTGCGGGCACAAAAGCATAATCACGATGGAGCCTCTAATCTTAACCTGTGAAGGGCAGGTTGTGGGATCCGACGTCCTGGGGTGGAATCCCAGCTCAGCCTTTCACTCGCCCTGCGACGGTGAACCCCCGGGAAAGTTGCTGAACCTCTCTGGGCCTCAGTTTCCTTCCCTGTCAAATTTGCATAACAACAGTACTTTTGGGCAGGACCCCCAGAGGATGCAGTGAGTTAATGTTCCTTAAGCACTTAGAACAATGCCCGGCGTATAATTAGGCCCAGGGTGTGATGAATAAGAGGCCCCTGACAGCGGGGAACCCCTTCGCCATCCGGCAGCCTCCCTGACCTCGCTCTCCGGCGGACCCCAGGCAGGATTTCGGTCACAGCAGGGAGTGGGAGATCAATAGGGGCCACGCCTGCCTTCACTATAATTCTCTGGCCTTTGGTGGTAAGAGACGGGGGCGTGAAACACTGAATTTTAAAACGGTAGAACACTTTAGAGCAGTGGTTCTCAACCTTCCTAATGCCGCGACCCTTTAATACGGTTCCTCAGGTTGTGGTGACCCCCAACCATAAAATTATTCTCGTTGCTACTTCATAACTGTAATGTTGCTACTGTTATGAATTGTAATGTCAATATCTGATATGCGGGATGTCGTAAATGTTTCCCTCCGCGTCCTGCGTGGTTCAGGGTTCAATATCTGGAAGAGGAGCCACACACAAATGAAATAGAAAAGACAAGAGATAATTTGGGAATATTGGGGGGCCAGGCGGGTAAGTCCAACTCAAGAGGAAGGACTTCCACCCGTGCTCAGTCCGCACCGACCTTTCATAGTCTGAGGTAAACAATGCAGTGGTTTCCATAGTTACAGTTCTTGTGAGTTTCACCCGTTTTGATCATGTTTACACTCCCTGCACTTCCCTCAGCCCCTTAGCTTCCCAGGTAAGATCTAGGGAGTGTTATAAGGTCAAGCCTAATTATGCTACGAGGACTGAGCCCTCTAAGCTGGGACTTGTTTGTGACTTTGCCAGCAGGTCAGTCCGAGGCTCAACCCTATATCAGTTTCCCACAGCCGGATGTATTTTCATTGTTACAAATTGAACATAATGAAAGCATAGTGATTAATCACAAAAACAATATGTAATTGTATATGTGTTTTGCGAAGGTCTTAGGCGACCCCTGTGAAAGGGTTGTTCGACCCCCAAAGGGGTCTCGACCCACAGGTTGAGAACCGCTGCTTTAGAGAGTTGATATGTGAGACCAACTCCTGTTTGTCTAAGGCCGTGGTCGGCAAACTGCGGCTCTCGAGCCACACGGGGCTCTTTGGCCCCTTGAGTGTGGCTCTTCCTAAGCCTTAGGAGTACCCTAATTAAGTTAATAACAATGTACCTACCTATATAGTTTAAGTTTAAAAAATGTGGCTCTCAAAAGAAATTTCAATCGTTGTACTGCCGATATTTGGCTCTGTTGACTAATGAGTTTGCTGACCACTGGTCTCAGGAAACTGAGGCCCCAGGAGTATCAGTCCCTCCCCATGGCCCTGGGGCTCCCTCCTGGCAGTGGGGACCACAGTCCTCCCTGACAGCGATTTGCCCTTATAAGGCAGTCCCTAGAGTATCTAGGGCCGCCCAAATCCCCGTGTTATTAAGCTGCATGGGGACAGGCTTACGGCAAGTCCCAACAACAAAACCAGCGTATTCTGAGGCATCCATAATCCCTAAATAGTCAATGTGTCTGAAGTGTGAGTCAGATCCGTACAGCTGGCCGTGTGTGTGTTTTCTGCATCACAGCATGGTTCCCACAAGGGGCCCCGAACTGAAGAATGTGCAGAGCGTGGACTTCATTACTATCACACCAACGGGGCACTCAACCACCAGTCTTCACACACACATACATGCACACACACACACACACACACACAGCGTCCTCAGGGTCGTGCCAGTCAGTCTAACAGATGACTGTTATTTAAGTTGCGTGCCACTTTGGGTGACAAAATAAAACCGGGCTGAACATTTTAAAGCAGAGGTGGGAATGTCCGGCCTACAGGCCATATAAGGCCCACAAACTCATTTGGCCTGGCCCTGCGTAGGCATTACGGGTGAGTTAATTAAATGTTTGACCACTGATAGCAGGCTAATGTTTAAGCTGATAATTCTGTATGGCCCTCGAATGATGTTACAAATATCCAGATGGCCCTTGGCAGAGAAAAGGATCCCCACCCCTGTTTTAAAGCGAAATAATGCACCAGACTTACACAGGCGAGTGAGTGAATCCCTAGGACTTTGAGGTGTTCACGGCGCATCCACACTTTTGAGGGTCGGCTCTCCATCGGCTGCAAGGCTTTTCCCCCACTTCTTTGCATTTGAGAATTTGGGTACCTGTGTCTGTTTCAGGCCCACTGAGCTCTCAGCACCTCCTGTTTGTCTCTGTAATAAGTCTCCTCCCTTGTGCGCTGTGCTCCAAATTCATGCTTTCTTTACCTCTAAATGCCAAACCAAACTTCACCACCTGGCCAGGCCTCTGGTTCAGCTGAGCTGCCCTCACAGAACGAAGACCAGGGAAGCCCATCTTTCACGCCCTCCACAGCAGCGCCTGCGTTTCTCGGTAGCAAGGAGGACGCTGGACTGTGCCTAGTGAGTCCTGCCTTCCTGTCTCTGTTGTCACCCTGTATGTTAGTGTTTGTATAGAAAAATGAGTAGATATTTATCTGCACAAACCCCCTGCTCAGGAACAAAAAAGCAACTGTCTGGCATTTTATTTACTTATTTATTCATTCATCCAGTTTGCTGAGATATAATTGGCATGATTTGGCATTTTAAAAATGATTGTTCAGTGTGATGTGTGAATTAGAACACTCATACTCATTTCTAAAGACTTCGAGACATTACGTCGCTTCTCAGCAGAGTAGCCAGAGGGGTCCTGTTAAAATATCAGTCAGATCAGCGAAAAACCCGTCAATGGCCCCAGTGTGACTCAGAGGAAAAGCCCAAGTCCCTACCAGACCCGTGACCTGGCTGCCCTCCATCTCTGTGTGTGCGCCTGTCTCCTGGATCCTGGACCCCTTCCAGCCACCGGTGGCTGGGTCCCCAGACACCAGGCAGGCCCTTCCTCACGCTGTTCCCTGTCCTGGGAAGCGCCTGCCAGATGCCCCAGGGCTCCTGGCCTCCCTTCTGTCAGACCTGCAGGCATAGCCCCCTCTGCTGAGACCTTCCCTGGCTGTGACCTAGAAGGTCAACCACTCCCCTCTGCCCAGCGGGATTTCTTTCCTTAAGCCTTATCCCTGCTCAACATCCTTTATGTTTGACCTGGTTACCCCATTCACTACCTCCCCAGCAGGAATTCCACCCTAGCCGGTGGGGATTGTGTCTGCTGCCCTGCGATGCTCAGAACAGTCCCAGGCACGCAGCGCTCCGTAAGTCTTTGTTGAGTGAAGGACGAACACGTCAAATGTTGGTCTGAGCACCAGAGATGGAAGTCAAGAGATACGAAGCTTTGTAAGAAAGTGAGGAATCTTAGTCCGAGTAAGAAAGCTGTGAGTAAATTTTAAAAACCGGGTAAAGAGTGAAAAGTTAAATTAGGCAGTGACGTGGATCTTTGACGTTCTCTACACGGAAAAGGGATTTATGAAATCGCTGTAGCGAACGCCCTAGCCAGGGGAGAATGTGCATTTATGATGGTCGTTACACATTGGAATGTTAAGTGCGATCTTGGAGGCGAGATGGCATCTAGAATTCATGCGAAAGATACCATAACAATGGGAAAATCAGAACTTACGGTTCCACGTTGAGTATCCATTACATGTTAATGATGGTGTGAAGTGGTCAGTGGCCAGAAGACCAGAAGGAACCAGAAGGTCATCTTTGGCTCGCCTGTCCCTCCTCATTTCTGGTTTTTTCCAGATTGCTTCTCTGGGGTTCCTCGACGTGGGATCTGATTCAACCCCTGTTCCTGGGTTGGTAAGAAACTGGGCTGGCTTCGTGGCCCTGCGGGCAGGGACCAGAACACCCACAGCCAGCTCCGAGGTGTGGTGGGGATTGGGCTGCCTCCCAACCAGCCCCATGTCACTGCTGGGCCCCAAGAACCCTGGTCCCTGCCCTGCACTGCCCCAGAACCTGCCCCTTCTGCCGCTCTGATCTCTTGGATGGAGCTGCTGCCTCGGTCTCATTTCTTCCCTCCAGACGTCTCCCCTGCCTGCTGTCCTCATCCCCTCCCTGCCCAGCAGCTCGTCCACGTTCTGCCATCTCAGGACAATCCACAGAGTGACGCTCGGTCTGCCCATCCTCTGTGCATGGTCCACACCGGGGTTTCCTTCCAACCAGCTGTTAGCAGGTGTAGCGTCCATGCGGAACCTTAGTGC